AAGGAAAAAAAATAATAATTGGGTATCATCAGATCAATAGTGGAAGCAGGCCCAGAGTAAAGAGACAGCCACTGGCAAAGGTCAGGATTTCTAAGTGGTGTGGGAACAGAGCACAAATGTGCATTCTCCAAAGGAATGTTTTCTAAGTTGAACAAGTTTTTCAAGATGAGGCAAATTTGGGCAAACTCAGAGAAAAGAAGGTAACTCTAGGCAAAAGACATGGCATTAGTGCAGCCCAAGGACAGTGGTGACCATGGTGATCTATATGTTCAGTTTTATTGCATTTCAGAAAAATAAAACAAAACAAAACAATTGGTTCCTTATGTAATGATAACAATAATATTCATAATAATATTGACCTACATACAAAGTGTTTACTGGGGATTAGATGTGTTCTAAGGTGTTATATGTTAGCACATGTTATTTTTGCCTCTACGTCTGTATCACAGATATTAGAATTTCTCCTTAATAGATGAGAAAATTGAAAGAACAGAAAGTCACAGAGTAAGATGACCATTGCCACCCAGGTTTTAGAAAGCTAACATACTCTTTCTTCATTTTTGTTTTTGTCTTGTTTTCTGACACTCGGGATTGAAGACAGGGCCTCGTGCATGCCACACAATCACTCCACCACTGAACCACATCACTGGACATTTAAAATTTTTATTTTAAGACAGAGTTGCCCAGGCTAGCCTCAAATTTGTTTCTCCCATGGGTAGCTGGAAATACAGGTGTATGCTACCATGGCTGACCAGTTTTGTTTTTCTTAAGGCAAAAAGCCTGATCCAGGTGAATCCAGCCCTGTTATTTTCAGAGAACAAAAGGAATTGGTGATAAAAAGAAGGTTTTTTTTTCCCCTTCAGAATACTGTCATTTGAAATAAACTACTAAGTTTTGGTGTTGCTTTTGCACATTCATATTTTTTAACATACACAAATAGGAAGAGCAAATATTTCCTATGTCTGGAGAGTTCAAAAGCATAGGAAAAGTGGAGATAAGTATTCTTTTTAATATTTTACAGAGAGCTACATTAAAACTTTATAAAGGTCCCCTGGATATTTATTTTCCCTCCTCTAGTAACAGTCTTAAATAAATATAATTACTTTTGGACAATAAAGTGTTTCAACATCGTATACTGAAGACTAATAAAAAGTACCAGTCACTTGGAAGTGTTCCTGTTTGGAGGCCAACCTGGCCCTTACGTGGTTGAGTCAGAAGGTGAAAGGTTAAAAGTGCATCCTATTTTAGATCGAATATAAAGTATGGGTTTGGCATTTGGTGTTGGTTTTGTTTTGCTTTTTAAAAAAATATCAAATGTAATTTTCTTTCTTTCCTTTCTTAAAATGTTAATTAGCCATCCTGTGCATGGTCCCAGGGTTTTGAGCACCATGCAGAACTTTTCCAAGCCGAAGGTCACATGCCCTTTCCCTTTATAGGTATACTCTGGATAAAATCTCTTTGCAAGGAACAATAAAAGACAGAATAATGGAGACCATGAGCCTAGGGTTGATGTAATGAAAGAAGTGTTCAATATTTTGGCACTTGCCTTCTGATGTAAAGTGTGTGTTATTCTCATTTAGTGGGCAATGGCCAAGTGTAATAAGAGAAGGGTGTGTTAATCCACTGCTGCTCTAAACTGACAGTAAAAAGCACTTTCTGCATTTCCCATTTGGATTCCAGAGCCCCTTTTATTCACACCTATCTTTTCCACATTAGACATCTGTCGTATTATTTATATGGCGCTACCATACTCAGTTCACACATTACAGCCTGCTGCACAATGCAGCTATTCTCAGCCCTAGAGACCCAAGTGATAGTATCTGATTATTGTATCTTCAAGCTATTTAATGTCTGCAAACATATTAAAATCTTTTCTTAATGAGTTATTATCTTTCTCTTTCGATACTACTAATATTTCAGCTTAAAAGACAAAGACGTTTCTCTTGATAGTATTAAATTGCATATTCACCTCTAGTGCCCTTTTCTACATAAGCATTTCTAAGGATGTAGTATGTTATTGACAAAAGTACATTCATGTTTTTCAACATAGCATGATCCATTTCAGCCTACTATCTATTTTTGTAAAAAAAAAAAATAGTACTACAACATAGCCACATTTGTTTGTCTCCATGTAATCTAAGGCTGATCTCATGCCATAGTGAAAGTAGTAAGTAATGGCAATAAAACCAGAGGAAGAAATTTAGAGGTAAGTCACTCTCAAGTTGAAATTTTTGACTGATAAAGAGGACAATTAAAGTGACAGATGAATATTTTTCACTATATAATAATAAAATATACACTTTTAAGATAGTGTATTATGTGTAAGACATGCTAAGCATTCACCTTGTACAAGATTTTAATAAAGGTTTTATTAACTCATTTCAAGGGAGGTCTGAGGAATTGAGATCACTTTTTACTCTTGCACATCTAGAAAGTGATGTAATGGGATTTTGAACTCAGGTAGAATAGATTCTTAAGGTCATACACTTTCCAGTTTTCACCAGCATATTCTCTCTCTCTCTCTCTCTCTCTCTCTCTCTCTCTC